ATGTGTCCGTGAAGATTTGAAAATAAAAATTGGGTCTGATATTTTACCTATAGTTAAGGAATGCAAAAAGATAGGTTTATGGCTTGACTCAGAGCTCAGATTCACCAAACATGTAAGTCATCTTTGCCAGGCATCCTTCAACATTCTTAGACAACTATTTCCTAACAGACACATGCTTTCCAAGCAATTGAAGCTCTCTTTATGCGAAGCATTGATAACGTCTAAACTGTCTTATTGTGATAGCGTCTACGGTCCAGCACTCTTGAAGTCTGACCAGTATCGTCTTCAAAGAATACAAAACTCATGCATCAGACTTTCATTCGGTATTCGGAAATTTGAACACATTAGTACAGAATTCAGTAACTCTGGTTGGCTGAGTTTGAACGATCTACAAAATCTACATCTACTGTCAATCACTCATGAAGTGTTAGTAAATAAATCTCCCAAATATCTTTTTGATATCATGAGAACGTTTTCAGTACTGAACGACCTCTGCACACGCAATAGACACGTTTTTGTCATTCCTCCTCACTCTTCTGCAATATACACTAGATGTTTTTCATACAATGCTGCTAAGTTTTACAACCAGTTGGCCAATGAATTCAGACTATATACACTCAGTAACTCCAAGAAAAGATTGAAACTCCTGATGAAAAATAGTCAGTTTGTGTTAATTCGTTGATGAATCTCGCTCCGGAACTCAGCTTTGACATGTTCGAATATAAAATATACCACAAAAGTCTTAGGATTCATTTTTATTTGTTTTTTTTTTTCATTTCTAATTTGAGTAAGTATAGGTACTCTGCAATAATATTATGAATCTCATGTATTTCTTTTTATTTTTTGTTCTTTGTCTTTGTGAGGTCAAGTTGAAAAACAGCTATAGCTGACACTTCGCCTTTTCATCAATCAGTTATTTTTCATATTTGATTCAATGCTTTGTATTTTATGTATAAAAATTGATTTGATGAATAAAGCCGCTTCATCAGTATTATTATCATTATTATATTAACCACTTCCATGAAAGTTATTGAGTATCTACCTCATCCTCTTTAACGAGAGAAACAACTTAATGCATATCAAGAGACTGAGGTGACGAGGAAATTTCAGCTTCTTTCAGAAATAAAAAACAGAATGCAAAATTGCTAACGAACTTGAGAAAAACAACTCGACGAAGTTACCTAATCGAGCACAACAACTACTCTGATATCTTTCAAACTGAATTTTCCTCACATAGGTTCAAACTCAAAAGTCGGCATGTGTGAATAATTAGGACCGTGAAACAATATCTGGTTCTCACTCTGTACCAACCACTTCCCTGGAAGTTAGAGAGTATCTACTTTATACTCTTTAACAAGAAAAACAACTTGATGCCTATCAAGAGACTGAGGTGAAGAGGAAATTTCAGCTTCTTAAAAAAAAAACATAATGCAAAATTGTTAACGAACTTGAGAAAAACAACTTGACGAAGTTTCTTAATTGTGTACAACAACTCTGCCATCCCTTGAAACGTTCCGTAATTCTATTTCCGATTTAAAGCAGATTATTCCGTACACAGTCGGCAGAGAGAAAATATACGATTGGAGGAAATGTTTTTCTACCCGGAAGACTTTCGCCACGGGGTGTTACGGAATGGCCCGTGCGTGATATATAGGGCGTTTATTCAAATCTGGGAAAGTCCGCATTGGATTCTAGTGGTGAGGCAAGACTGGTTTCAAGATCAGGATCTCGAATCTCTGGAAACCGTACGAGGATTCTAGAATCAATGAATGTAGGAATCATACACGGGTTGTGGATTCATTAATTCTGACATCCTTGATCATTGCCCTCACTTTATAGAATGATTTACGTTGGACACACATAATACAATTGTTTCAACTCACAGTTGAAATAAAATCTTCAAAATTGGTATGCTAATATAAACAGTTATTTATAATCTATCTGAAATATTTTTGATCCTTTAGCTATACAGGGTGTGCCGACAGTCGGCACCAACTTTCTCATTCAATTCCTGAGGCAAACCGATTTTCAAGAACAACAATTCCATAATATAGAACTCTTTCAGCTATATTCGAAAATATGGACAGATCTGAAATATTTAGATTATCAAGGCCTACTTCCGTTTGGTGAAAGGATCAATATTTCCTGAGCAAATTTTTTCCAACTATTTTCGGAACAGTGAACAGCCTATTATATTCCGGCATATATTATATCTTATACAGTGAGGACGTAATAAGTCTTTACGTCCTTCAACCTTTGAACGTTACTAGCTAGCGAGGTCGGGTAGAATTCAGGCAAAAAGGTACCTATTTCACTACTATTTAGCATGAAACTGGTTCTGGTCTTGTGACCTAGTGTCAAGTGGGCACCATCAACTCCACGTGTTACCTTGTTTTGGAGGCCTTTCCATTCTTTATCCAACTTGTTTGGGCAAATCGGTCAAGCCATTTCAAAATGACGAGCGTTTGAAATGTACCTCGGAAACAGTGAATAACGTTTACATTCCAAAACCGATTTTTCCGTGTCAATGAGTCAACGATGAACATTTCGAGCATTTTTGAGCACTTCTCGCAATTCCTACTTGACATTCTGTTGCAATTAAAAGTTATATAGGTTTTTTATTCATTAATATTAATATTTGAAGCAAATTTCAAACGCTTGTCATTTTGACACATCTTGGCCGATTTGTACAAACAAAGCGGTGTTGGATAGAAAATCGGCCTTTGAAATAATAAGGTACCACGTGATCCCTGTCTTTATTTGAAAAAAAAAGTTGATGGTACCCACTTGACACTAGGTCACGTGACCACAATCATTCTCATAATATATGTCTATTAATTCAGAAACTCCTAATATGAAAAAAAAGTATGATAAAAAAAAAAGATAAAAAAAACAAATGGCAAAGTATATGAGTAGTATAAGTAGTAATTTCGATCATTTTGATTTATATTGTATTGAATAAACAACCAAACCTATAAAACCTCTGCAGGTTGACATGGGATGTATGGAAAGAAAAGAATTGAGTCTACTAGTATATGCCCTGAGCCATGATTATATATGTACAGGGTGATTCACCATAAATGTCCCCCCATCTAGCTCACTTATTTTTGAACCGATTCGGAAATTTGAACAATAACCTGAAATGATTGTTCAGAATTTTTTTCCTGTTGCATCAGAAGATACAGGGTGCTCGGAACAAATGATCTACAGAGTACTACTTGATTTTTTCGAATGGAACACCCTGTATTTCATTGTATTTTCAGATTCTTCCTGAAGAGCTGATTTCATCAATGTATCACACTTGGGGTCTAGCGGAAATGATTACAGAGATATAGGGTGTTCAAAATCGTGATTTTTCAAGTTCAGGATATTTTTATGTCGAAACTATTCATTATTGGTCAAAACGGCTTTTATGTTTCCATCTCAACTTTTGTTTCACTGTCTACTGACATTCAATTGGAACATTTACAGGGTGGTTCAAGATTCAGAATTCTGATTAACCTGTATCTGTTACAATTATTAAATGTCAGTAGGAAGTAAATCAAAATATAGGTAACGACATAAAAGCCGTTTTAAACGATTAGGATTATAAAAAAAATCCTAAAGTTGAAAAATCTCGATTTTGAACACATGTCTCTGTGATCATCACCGCTAGACCCCGAGTGTGATGAATTGATCAAATCAGTTCTCCAGGGAGAATCTAAAGATGCAATGGAAAATAGGGTGTTCCATATAAAAAAATCAAATAGTTCCATGTAGATCGTTTTTTCCGAGCACTATGTATTTTCTGATGTAGCGGAAAAAACTTTATCGAAAATCATTCAAGATGATATTTTGAATTTCGAAATCGTTTTAAAAATAACTGAGATAGATGGGGGGGGACATTGATGGTGGATCACCCTGTACGTTCCTACATTTCTATGATACTAGCTACAATGTCAATGTCTAGGTCCAGCAAGTATACTTTAAATTTTTTCTTTATATATTCGATTGAATTGATTTCAAGAATATTCAGTCTATAAGTTTCTGGTGAGTAGTTGAAAATCCTATTAGCTAGGTTTTGAAAATGTTGCTGACCTATGCCAAATAGCAGTGAAAGATGTACCTTTTTGCCTGAATTTCACCCGACTTCGCTAGCTTGTTTCGTTCAAAGGTTAAAGGAGGGGCAGGACTTTTCACGTCCTCACTGTATAAGGCTTTATACAAAATTCTAGCTTTTTCGATTCATCTTGTAATAGAAAGATTGAATATTCACTGAATCAATTGAATTTCGAGATTATTCATTGAATTCCTTTAAGAAAACTGAGATATCACGCAAAATCATCGAAAACGGAGAACACTGTTGTACACTCGTCTCCAGAAAACATGTCGCAGTTGGACGGTGTAAGCGCTCTGAATCACCCCTGCAATAAGAGCGATTACACCGTCCAACTGCGGCATGATCGATCACTGAAGACGAGTGTACAGTCGTCTTCAGAGGTCATGTCGCACATGGACGGTGTCAGCTCTCTTAATCACCGTTGCAATAAGAGCGCTCATACCGTCCAAATGCGACATGTTATCTGAAGACGAGTGTACATACGCTTCAGCAAAGTATTTGTTATTTGTAAAAAGTAATACAATGGGACAGTACAGTCAGATGCAAAGAGCATGTCGCAGTTGGATGGTGTTTGCGCAGAAGTGGCTATCACCACCCATGTGCGACATGTTCATTGACTGCTTACTTGCGGATATACTCAACAGGATTGAAAAAATAGAACGTTATAAAGAGATTTCAAATACCTCCCTAACTTGACCTCTTGAACACTTTGTAAATCTTCAAGAGGTTGATCAGGATGGTAGGAGGTTGACAGGTACTCGGAAATTCCAATGCGAATAAAAGAGATTCTCCAGAAAATACGTCCTTTCCAAGTTTTTTCTGAAATTATGAAGTAAACACATTCAATTCCATCATACTTCGAGTGTTCCGACATTTTCTTTGATACCCTTCCTTCTTCCAGAGCCAATCACCGAGATCCTCGGCAGCCCCGAGCTGTTCATCAACCTCGGCTCCACCATCAACCTCACCTGCGTGGTCCGGTACGCCCCAGAACCTCACTCGAACATCGTCTGGTCGCAGAACTCGGAGCTGATCAACTTCGACTCGCCCAGGGGTGGCATCAGCCTAGTTACTGAGAAGGGGCTGGTCACCACTAGCCGACTGTTGATCCAGAAGGCCGGTCAGAAGGACTCCGGGCTCTATACGTGCACGCCGTCCAAAGCCAAGACAGCGAGTGTTCGAGTTCATATCCTTAACGGTAAGTGTTAACCTGTTTTTTTTTTCATTCTTTTGTTTTCTCATACGAGGTGGTTAACATCCTTTATAGACATCACATGGGTCAAATTCCCCATTTGATAGTGTGGGAGTCTCCTTACTCCAGGGTATACCCACTGAACACTCCACCCCTTTTGTAGGCTCGTCTGCCTGATGTCTCTGACGACACTTTGACCTAGTGGCCTATTGAATCTTACCCACATGCCGTTATCAATTTCACCATATACGACTCATGGTGCTCATCAGGAGCCACTTCAATATGAAAAACCCTTTCCGTTCAGGTTCCTGAAGATAACTTTCCGATTTTTGATCTCGTCTACGAAGAATGACAAAAGTTCCCCCTCTCCTGCGAGTGACTTTGGAAGGAGTTGGTTCAGACCTGTGGTACTAAGGCTAAGGCTAACCTGGAATACTCAACTGCGAAAGACTGTCAGCAAAGGCAAAATGGCACTAATGGCTTCTCGGAGAGCGATTGGTAACACATGGGGACTGAAACCACGCATGGTACATTGGCTATATACTGCTGTGGTGAGACCAATGATTGTATATGGATCGCTTGTCTGGTGGCCTAAGACTGAACAGAGATCAGCTATAATGGAGCTTTCAAAACTCCAGAGATTAGCTTGTCTCTGCATCACAGGTGATATGCGCAGAACTCCTACCGCTGCTATGGAAACCATACTCAATAGTCCACCTCTTGAAATCTTCATCAAGGCGGAAGCGAGGATGGGGGCATACAGACTGGAGTGTACCGGCAACTGGTATGCTCGAGGTGACTCCCTGGGACATACAAAAATAATCAGCCAAGTTTCAAGCCCACTAATGGATATGGAAAGGGACAAAATGCTGCCTAGAGATAACTATTACAAACCCTTCAACACTCAGCTCTACTGGGATGAAAGGGTCTTGACTAACTGTCAGGAAGGCACGTTAGTATGGTACACTGACGGTTCTAAGACTGATGAGGGTACGGGAGCCGGAATATATGGAGATAGACCCAGAACCAGGATGTGTGCTTCCTTGGGGAGGTATGCTTCAGTATTCCAGGCAAAGGTGCATGATATTGAGGCATGCCTGAGAGAGAATATCGTAAGAGGATACAGAGGTAAACAAATCCTCATATGCTCAGATAGTCAGGCGGCCATTCAATCTCTAACATGCAATAAAATCAGATCAAAATTGGTCTGGGATTGCCTTCAAAGCCTGCTAACCCTGGCTAACCACAACAAGGTAACTCTTCAATGGGTGCCAGGGCATAAGGGAATTGAAGGCAATGAAGCAGCTGACGCTCTTGCCCGGCAAGGGTCTGCGACGTTGTTTATGGGGCCGGAACCTGTGTTCGGTATCCCCAAAACCTCAATACGCGGCTGGCTGGCAAGGTGGATGCAAGAAAGACATCAGGCATACTGGAACAATGTCCCAGGACAAAGACACAGTAAACTGATGGTTGGAACACTGTCCAAAACAGTGACTAACGACATTCTGAGCCTAAACAGAAGTCAGATCAAACAAGTGACGGGTCTAATAACCGGTCACTGCCCCTTGAGGAAACATATGCATCAAATGGGCATCGATATAGACGAACCCATATGCAGACTATGCAATGAGGAGCAGGAAACTGCCACCCATGTAATACTGGAGTGCGAAGCACTAGCGCGTTGGAGATACAACCTTCTGGGAGCAGTAAACTCTCAAGAGGCATTTTCAAAGAATGATCTGGTGAAGAGACTGCTAAACCTCATCAAGGTAGCGAACCTGTTCACCTAAGTCAACAGCATGATCAGAAATACAATAGGCCCAAAGGCTGCAGTGCTTTGGGCTTTAAACCCTGACTGATCATTCTGCTATTAATCAATCAATCAATCAATCAATCAAGGCTAAGGCTGTTCACACTGAGATGAAGGGAGAGAGAAGGGGATATCACCCATGAATATCCGGCTAGGGTACCTCGGGTTCACTATTTCCGTACTCACAAGTTGTGAGCCCCTGAGGAGAACCTGATCTCTTACTGAGCCTTCTCTGTAGAAGGAGGAAGTGCTAGATGCTTAATCCATAAGAAAACTTGCCAGTATTGATGCTTGATCTTGTCATTCACTTGCAGTAGATGTATAAATATTTCCCATGCATGATATTCACCGTATTCGCAGTTATCACAGTATAGATAAAGCATTGCTCTGAAATGCAGGAGCTAGTGACTCTTCCTTCGAGTAGGTTATTTCCTCAAGTCTGGAGTTTGGATTACTTCCTGTTCCCTGAGAATGGTCAGAAATTTATGCATCGATACGTATAAACAAACTCTGGTGCAAGTGTTTCTTTTTCTGATGCCGATAGATTTCGATTCAGCCAGGTTAACGCAATGACACCTATACAGACTGGTTTCAAGCTTCATTGGCTCTCATCAAACTCATCAATGTATAAGGTAGGTAGTCTCCAGCTAGCAGTCCGAAGACCGCCGGCTGAGAGCAACCTGGCCTAACAAAATACAATCGGCAATAGTGTGGTCCTAGATGTGCCACACGGCTTCAACGCCATCTAGACCACATAGAAAGAGAAACACACTCCACAAAACTGAAATGCCCAAATGGACGCCTGACTGGCGTAATTTCAACTACGAAATTGCCACAATGCAAAAAGTGGGATGAAATGGTGAATAATTACAAAATGTTCAACGTCAATTCCACAAATGAGTTTGCGTTTTTTTGTATCAATTTGTTTATTTATTTGTGCAATTATGCAAATTCCTTCCATAACATAAATTCCTTCCTTTTCATGTGTCATAATTATTGTGATAATGAAATTGAACTGATGCATATGCACCTTCATATTTTTCATTACAAAATGTTATCCCATAATGAATAATCGCTTGTAGGTTATAATGAATCAGCAGTCTCAAATTCAAATTTAATGACTACTAAGTTCTTATCCCATTTTACTTCATAATAAAATTTCAAGGATTCATAGATGAAATATATAAAAGTATCAGTACATGATAGTATAGATTGTTTCCTATTCATTCACTATAAACTTTTTCTTCCACTATGGGCATATAACATATATCTTCAACAAAGAAAATCTCACGAACAGCTTCAGCTTCTGTGGGTTCCTCAATGTTTGTTCAGGTATATTGAACATAATTTCCACAAAATATCATTATCTCATTATGAATAAACATTATCATCAATACCATTATAATTTTCATCATTATTATCATTCTTATTATTTTTATCATTATCCTTATTATTTTCATAATAATAATTCTGGTCAGAGTTTCTCTTTTAGAAACATAAAATTTTGGTCAATAAACGTGTGAACTTCCCCAAAACTGGATTTACATCATTTTTGAAGCAAGAAGGAAATAATAAGTGTCTAAAGAGACAAATGAGTGAGGGTTGCTGGGCTGTGTGCACGTGAATATATACCAAAGAAGGGAAGATTTGTATTTCGTGCAAAAAATTTCTTGCACGAAATACGAATCTTCCCTTCTTTGGTGAAGAGACAAAGGCATGCCCATTTTCAGAAGATTAGATCCGTTATTTCAGTCACAATGGGCTTATATCACAACAAATTTACATTTCATAATTCGATAGAACTCTAACTAGCTCACCACCGCAAACCGTTTCTTGCTGTGACCCCAAAAAAAAATTATTGAAATTCCCGATTTTTCCGACCTCTGAAAACGAGGCAATGATGTGACGTCAAAACCCTAATACTAAAACAAGATTATTCCAGACAGAGATGAATGATACATGATTTGTGACAGAGTGAATTAGCGCGAGATCACAGTTTAAAGAATTAATATATCAGTTGCCTCAGTCTTCGTAAGGCATTTGGTATTTTCTTTCAACTATGGCGAGATGAGATTTCTACGTCATAAGAGGATCTGTTTTCAGAAAGTACTATTATTTATGTCCAAAAATGAAACATTCCAGTTAATTATTCGATCGAATTATGTCGTCAATCATCATTTATGTATAAAAGGATCATCATAAACATGGTTTGAGTTAAAAGTTCTACTAAGGTGTACACGCCCATTCTTATGTCCCTGAAATATTCACAGCGAATTTCGGATAACCCTGTATTATGTCATTGACACGTACCGATATAATATCGTAACGACCATACGGTCAATTTCCAGGCTGGCATCTTATTCGGGGCGGAACAAATCGTTATTGAATTCGCGAAAGAAAAACGAAATCTGAGCAAAACGTGCTGCATTTCATGTTGCAATGAATAATGCTGGCTGGGGTTTCATGGTATATTAAACTAGCTCTGAAAGGCATAACCTGGAATAAGAATAATTCCGGTTACAAAGTTGCAGACACGTCTGAGTTGATGCATCTACATAATTTCACTCATTTCGGGATAATGAAAAGATAATTATCGCAGATTTATGTATTATATTATCCATCGCCTTCATAGTTACATGGAACAATACAGGGTGATTCAAAATCCGATGTAAATAATTTAAGGATGTATCGTGGGAATTGTTGTTATCCATCATTGTTCTTATCCATCATTTGGTTGCCCCCCTACGAGCAACCCTCAGAAGTCTTCAAGAGACTTGGGCGAGCAAGGAATGACAGGGGTCTTACCTCTTAACGTGTGATCCCAAACACATTCTTCCCACACAGCACATGTACATCCAATATACGTCCACGTTGGATCGTAAGGACGTCCAATGGAAGTACTCGAGTGGACGTTTAACATCCTATGGACGTTCACTGGATGTCCTGATGCACCACTTTGGGCGTACTATGAATGTCTTCATTTGGATGTTCAATGGATTTTTATATTGGAACTCACAATAGATGTAGATGTCTGAGCATACATTGGACGTACCAAATTCGACGTTAAATGTTCAATGAGAGGCCATTGGATGTCTAGAGGACACCACTTTGGACATAC